TAAATAAATAATAGGTTCGTGCTAAACTTGACAAATTGCCTGATCCCATAACCGGAAACCCACAGTTCGAACTTAACTGCATAGTCAGAAATTGTGCATCTGCGATAGAAAAAGAGGTAAATGGTGACAAGTTAAATCTGTGGCTAGAAGTAAACAAAGAATTCAAACGATTTAAAATTGAGCTCTGTAGTACACGACCAATATTTGCTGTCGGTAAATTAAACAACGGCAGCATTGCAAAATTCGACGTCTTGATAGAATTTCTGGATCCGGAAAATCGGAATTCAACCTTGATTTGGGTAAAACCGAGCCGCTTAAAGAAATTACTGAGGCAGATATTCAGTGTAAAATTAATGATACTAGAGGAAGACAATTGCCAGGATTTATATCTTATTCTGTCGTGTCAGAGTCGATAAAAGATTTTCAAGAGAAATGGAAAAACTCTGCGTTTCATTGTTTGTCGAATACTCATGGCATTATGAGTAAAGCCGTTGAAGAGTCGATTGAAGCGAGATTTGATCGATGTCCGTTGCTCGTAGGACTTATGAAGTAATTTAATTAATAATAAATTGCAAAATAAACTTGATATTTTCATTCTTATTCAATTTGAAGCTTAATAGACACAATGCCATAAAGTGGCTGGAAGAATGCAAGAAAGAAACACTCGGACGACTTAAATTCAACATGTTGATGGAATCTTTTGACCCATTTACTATGGACGAAGGATCGATGTTTGAAGGAAAAAACGCCTATCTTGCAGCTCTCCAAGAAGCAATTCGGAAAGACAACCATCTGATAATCTCAAATTTATCGCTACGGTGATGGCCTACTTCAAATTATTATTCAAACGTTTGCTGACTCCGTTGCAATGACTATCGTACATGCATTCATCAACAAGTGTCCCAAATTTATTCACGAAAAACTACTGATGCCAATTATGGAAGGCGACTATGATGTGATGTTAATGAACTTATACAAGAAGATAACACTATTGTTGTTGCTCGAGATGAATTGTTCCAGTGTGAAAAGCGTTTGCAGGAGGTGCTAGATCATTTGGTGGGGTTTGGTGTTTGATACAGTTTCCGATCAGTAGATTTATTATATATGTATTAAATATTAATTCGTGATCAAGCTGGAGTCTTTAATGAAGTACTATATGATAATAAGAAATATATCATCTTCAGAAGTTCTAACTACTTTTTTCCTATAAAAGAGAACCTTAATTACCAAAATACCGTAAAACCTTCCTAAATGTACCCTAGTGCACCCTCTAGCTTAATACAAGTTATAGGTCCTAGTAATTGAACCTATTCTTTAAATGCACAACCTCTCTAAATACGAGATCTTACGTATGTTGGACTTTTTTCAAAGCATTAATTAATGTTTTTGAAAAAAACTTGTCTTCTATAAAATTAGCTAATTTACTTAAAGTTATTATATCTATAGTGTCCAGTATACTGCATTTGCAGAATTTGCAGAATCCATATGGTTTATAATGTGATTTGTGTACATAATTTGCATAATGGTAATAATGATGTGAATTTTATAACTTGCATTATAAAAATGATTACGCGAAATTCTAAACAATGTACATGTACATGGGATGGGTGATGTTTAACATGTAATAATTAAAATTAGATCACCCGATTTTTAAATTTTAAATTTGATCGTCATAATGATATTGCACGTTTTTCAGTTTGCAGAATTTGCAGTAAATTACTGCGCAGAAATGCAGTAAATTGGACACTATTGTAGTTAAAATTTTCTGAAAATGATATACTCACTCACTGCAAAATTACTGCTTAACAAACGAGAAATCTTATACAAATCATATTAATACTTATCATAATTTCTAATAACAAAAATATTGTAATGTTTTATCATCCAAATAAAATGTTTACACTAATAATCAAAAAGAATTTATTACTTCATCGAAAAATTGCTTATACAGTCAATTTCATAAGTAACTGACCCCTATTTTCTCGTCACACAATATAATAAAGCAAAAAAATTCTTTTTTT